CGTGTTGCTGTACTGTACTTACGCTATCCAGTAACAGATAATTTTTTGTCTGCTAGTAGTGTTCTAGATTATGTCTTTCCAAAGTGCTGAGGCAGTGCATCTATTTTGTAGTTGCAGCTGATGCCTGAATGTATCCTAGCTGACAAATTATTAAGAACTTGAATTTCTGAAAGATTCTTACTGTTAACCAAAATCTGAGCAAGGAGACTCAAATGTAATTCTTGCCAGAATTACATGTTAATGAACTGTGTACCTTTTAACAATATATAAATCAAGAAACATCAGTTTAGGGATTTAATTTATTTTTTACCCGATGGAACTATCAGTTCAAGGTTGCCAGCATGGTTGCAGATAAACTGATGTTTGAAATTCACCAAACTACTTAATGTGGAATAGGAGAATATATACTTCCAGTGCCCTCAAGGCTGTGACCTTACAGCCATTTTTCATAGCACATCATTCCTCCTATAGGGATGAACTTTTTCCTGGCACGAAAAGTAGCCGCTCTGGTTGAAGCTTTGCTTATTGTAATAGGCTTTTGTTTCCAGGTAACATGTCTGTGGAAGACTTAATTCTGAATAGAGATATAGATATTACTGGAAACTAATTGTTTTTTCTATTATACTCTGCTTTATCAAAAAAGTAAAACATTTAAATTGTGCTACAGAAATCCAGATGTTGTCTTGCGATCTTTAAACAATAAATGATTTGCCCTTAATATGGCTGATGGTTTTTTTTTTTTTGGTGGCTGATGTATTTTGTGTTCTGTTAAATTGAGCATTAGACAGAACAATAGGGTCATCCAGTAACGAAACTTCTATTTTAACAGCTCCAAACAGCTGGAGGACCACCTTTCCCTAGTGTAGCTATGGTCTTAAGGATTATTTTGTTTTCTCAGCCAGGTGTGGTAGAGGGGTGGGGCTGGCATTAAGATGATGACAAAGCCTGTGACCCCCAGCACACCCATCCATGATTGTTTGTATTGGGTCTACAACTGCACTGGCTTCAAACTGCTATAGTCTTTATTTTTCGTGTGGACTGTTCATGCTCTGTGTGGTGGTTGAACTCAGCCACAGGTAGGAGGGAAGATAGTGCAGCAGGGACCAGAACAGGCTGTTTGAGCTGCCTGTTTTCTCAGAGATAATAAATGAGAAAAAATTTTTCAGTAGAATTTCAAGGGTACCTGGCTGGCTCAGTAGAGCATGCTACTCTTGATCTTGGGGCTTGTGAGTTCAAGCCCCATGTTGGGCATAGAGCTTACATTAAAAAAAATAATAATAAAATTTCAGCTCATTTACCTCCCAAGCTCTGGGTTGTGACCCTCAAAGTCCTAATGTGGATAGTTGTTTGTTTACTAAAAGGTCAGGGGAACAGGGTGGAGAAAGGTGTCCAGTAGCCTAATCAAAGGTTCTCACCCCTACCCTCTTTATATGTCACGAATATGCCTCCCTTCTTTTCAGCCCACTTTATCTCCTCCTGCCTTCAATCTAAAGGAGCTGCTTGGGCATCTGGGATAAGGTCGGGTAACATGATTCAATTCCAGTCCTAAGCCACTTTTTACTTGAAGCACATGCCTCTTAATATTAACTACAGCTAACATCAAGGTTCTTTGCCCAAACCTCTGAGGCACACAGTTAAGTAACCCCCATTTTTACAAAAAAAGGCTTGTAAAAGTAAACTTACAAGTTTATTTTGGAGATTTTTATTTTTATTTTTTTATTTTTTAAAGATTTTATTTATTTATTCAGGATAGACAGAGAGAGGCAGAGACACAGGCAGAGGGAGAAGCAGGCTCCACGCAGGGAGCCTGACGCGGGACTCGACCCCAGGACCCCAGGATCGCGCCCTGGGCCCAAAGGCAGGCGCCAAACCACTGAGCCACCCAGGGATCCCAAGAGATTGAGTTTTAATGACAAGCCCCATTTAGGTAATTCCCGACCCATTCAGAAAAGTATCGTTATATATACGTAGGCAGTTTGGTGCTTAAGAGTTTAGGTTTTCTTTTTAAGATTTTATTTTTGAGTAATCTGTATACCCAACGTGAGGCTCAAACTCACATCGAGCACTTCTAGAGTTTGAATCTCAGCTCTGGCACTTTGTAGCCATGTGCTGATCCCTGTAAAATCAGTTGCTAACATTTGCCTACTTATTAAGGCATTTTAAAGTTTAAAACCACATAAAACACTGGGAACAGTGCCTCGCATGAAATAAAAGTATTATTAATATTTTTAAATGCAGAGAGGTTTTATTTGTATTCTGTTGGCTACATGTTTAAATTATGAAATGTCCGGAAGTCTGCCAGAGAAAAGAGTACCTAGAAAGCATTTTACTTCCCTGGTGTCTGTTTTTCTTGGTGTGTTCGGAGTGCGTGCCAAAAAGCCCTCTATCTCCAGGATTTGGAGGATTCTGGAAGCAAACGTCATAGTGAAGTGTTGTCATGCACTGCTGGATCGATGCCTTGCTCTTATCTAGGGGTCTAAGTGACACCCCCACCCCCACCCCCGCTCAGAGTAGTTTGGGAGGGCAGGCAAACAGGCTTAGAGGTTTGGGTGATTCAGGCAAGGGATGAGGCTTGCTTATCGCGTTCTCACAAAAATGAAACTTTGGGAAGATTCAGCCCAGTTTTTCTCTGTCACCCAAAAAATTAACTTAGGAATCAGCAAACCGCAGAAACCTGCCTTGGGGACCAGAGCTCTGCATGAAATGGCGCTTGCCGTGACATAGCAAGCAACACCCGTGGAAGTGATACACTTGACTCCGGAAGCACTCGGGCTGGGCGCCAAACTTGAGTTCCTAGTCGCGAGGTTTAAATTTGCCCCGTGACCACACTGTGATAGGTGGGTACAGGTCCACGTCAGTTCCTATCCCCCACTGAGCCTGGGCTCTATAAAAGGTCTTGCGCCCGTTTTTCCCTCGCAGTTGCTGGAGATTTCCCGTGCTGTTTGTGACTAGCTGGAGTTGAGCAGCAGGCAGCCACACTAGAGGCAACCTGCCTCTAGCGAGGCGGCAGGAGCAGGTAGGTTCCTGGCGGGGCCGAAATGGGTGCCGCAGTGGAAACAATCTTGAAGCTCATCCTAGTTCAGTGGACTTCGTTAAAATCAGGACCACCATGTGCCCTGACTGTCCATGAACCTGGGGACTGAGATTATGGCAAAATATTTTGCCGGTTTCCACTTTTTAAAAATGCTTTCAGAAGAAGCAATTTTATTTATTTATTTATTTATTTTTTTTGCGATAGAACTCTGCTAAAGCAAAGATGAGGAATGGCGGTGTGGAGATCCCGCTGGGGGAGGTGGCGTGCTGTTGGGAGGAGGTCATCTAGGTCTGAGTAGTGGAAGACTGGCTGGCTGAGTGAGATTGGGGGGAGGTGGAGGGCTGGTGAAGGCATAGGGGTGTACGATGCCTGGTCCCGAAAGGCCGGTGGGCCGATTGAGGTCAGAGTAGGGGGGTGGAAATGTGGGCACATGGAAGGTGGGTAGGAGTGCAAGCGGTGGGTGAGGGGTGCCTGTTCCGCCAGCTGCAACGAGAGGGGTGTACGGGTGCCGTGAGTGTAAGCTTTGAAGCTGGATTGGTGTAGCATACAACTCGCTGAGGGTGGGAGCGAGCAGGGGTCTGGGCGGGATGGTGTAAGGGCTGTAAGGCCACATGGAGCTGGGAAAGGCGGAAGGTGGGTGGGGGGGTGGGGTGAGTGGGGGTGACAAGGCCTGATTGGTGCAAGACTGGCTGGGGGTGGAGTCTGGGCCTGTTGCTAGAAGACCTTCTGGGGTTTGGGGAAGGGTGAGAGGGAGGGGGGAGGGGGAAATGGAGTGAGTGGAGGTGTCGAGGCCTGATTGGTGCAAGACTGGCTGGTGGCGGAAGTGTTGGGGGCGGGGTCTGGACCAGAAGAGGGAGCTGGGGTGTGGGGGTGAGTGGAGGTTTGGAGGCCATTTTGGTGCAAGGTGAGGCAGAGGCAGAAAGCGAGAATAGGGAGATAAAGACATTGAGGGAAGGTGGAGAGCGGTTGAGGGAGGGGGTGACCTAATCCGGTGTAAGACCATTGGGAAGTGGGTACGGGAGGGGGAGAGTAGAGGTTGGATGGTGGAATATAGTGCCCTGATCTGTGTAAGACTGCCTGGCAATAGGAGTAGAGAGGTGGAGGGGCGGGAGAGGGTAGAGGACTCGAAGCCTGAAGACTTCCTGAGGCTTTACGCAGCAATAGGAAGAGTGCAGGTGTGACGGAAGTGGCGGACCAGTGCGGACGTGGGGAGTGGGAATCCCCTTTGGGGGCAATATCCCTGGGCCAGGGACTAGATAGTGGGTGCTAAATCCTTACAATAGGAGGAAAATTTCTCTGGGAGCTGATAAATGAATGATTGTCTTCCTTTGCACATCTCTATAATGTGGCGGTTGGGGTGACTGGACATCAGAAGCTGCCATGTGCTTTGGGCTTTTTTTTTTTTAGGTTTTATTTATTTATTCATGAGAGACAGAGCAAGAGGTGCAGACACAGGCAGAGGGAGAAGCAGGCCCAATGCAGGGAGCCTAACGTGGGACTCGATCCTAGGTCTCCAGGACCATGCCCTGGGCTGAAGGTGCCGCTAAACCACCAAGCCACCTGGGCTGCCCATGCTTTGGGCTTTCTGATTGATCTGCAAAGAACCTTGGCAGGGCATGGTGGGAGAGGTGGTGGTACACCCTGTCTCTTGTTTTCTCCATCCAAGAAAAGCCTGCAACAAACATTTAAATACATCTTATTTCAAAAGCAAAGCTTTGGCTTTAAATTAGGGTGACTAGGCTGCTCAAAGATATATGCAGAATGTAGAAATGGTGGTTCTGGGGGCGCCTGGGTGTCTCAGTCGGTTTAGCAGCCAACTCTTGATCTGAACTCAGATCTTGATCTCAGATTTGTGAGTTTAAGCCCCACATTGGGCTCCATGCTGGGCATGGAGCCTACTTAAAAAAAAAGTTGGTTCTGGATTTTGGCTTTCTTTAAAAAGTATACTTTTGTCTTGACTATAGACATGGACATGTCCGAAGAAGCCGGCCAATCTAAGATCCAGGATGATGATTGGTGAGATTGGAAAAATTCTGTTTTCTCTTAGTTTAATCCTACTTGTGTTGGCAAAATGACTCTCAAAAAGTATATGTTTCTTTCATTTCAAGTCTGCAAAGTGTATAACTTGGTTAGTCATAAAATGAGAATTGTAAAAAGGGATCTTAGAATCATACAGGAGTCCAGCCTCTTACTCAATGCATGAATCCTTTATATAAAGTCTCTGTTAGTGGCCAGGAGCATACAACTCCATGAAGCGACACAATGCATTGTTGAGTATGTATAATTTCTAAAAATTTCTTCATTCAAATGAACTTAAAACTTAGGCTACTTCCATCCCATTGTTCACAGTGTTGCCCTCTAGAGATACACAGATGAGGTGTTTTTTTTCTCCATGTTAAGGAGGTGTTTTAAGATCGCTGTCTTACCTCTTAAGTTTTCTCCCCTGAAACACTGCCCTGATTTCCTACTTCACAGGTAAGCTTGTAAGCACATAATAAGGGAGAAAGTAGAAACCGTAGAACAGAGAGTCTGGAAATAGACCCAAATACCCAAATATAAAAATTTAGCTCATGATAAAAAATGACATTTCAAATCAGTGGGAAAAAGATGGATTCATCAACAAATAATTTGAAGGTAATTGGCTAACCATTTGGAAAAAAAGAAGAATTGGATTACTTTATCTTCCTTATAACAAAATAAGTTACGCATGGAGAAAACATTTAAAAATAAAAAGTGAAATCACTAAAAATGTTAGAAAACCAGGTGGATTTAGTTTCCAATTATTTTGGGAGGGGAGAAAGCCTAATTTTGATATCCCACAAAAGCATAAAAATGACAACTGGAAAAGTATTCATATTACCCATGATAAAAAGCTATTTTTCTTAGTCAACAAAGAACTTTTACAAATCAACAATTTAAAAAAGGTAAACACATGAAAAATGGGCAAAAGATATTAAGAGGTAGTTCTCAGTGAAAAAAATACATTTGGCCCATAGACATATTCAACTTTACTTACATTTAAAGAGATGAAAAAAATTTTAACAAGATACCATTTTTTGTATATCAGATTGGCAAAGATTTAAAAAAATCAGTAATAACTGGAATTGGCAAATTTTTAGGAGAACAGACAATTTCTTATAGCCATTGTGGAAATATAAATTGGTGCAACTTTTTTGGAGGGCAGTCTAGAAATAATCAAAATTTTAAATGCCCATGTCCTTTGACCCAGTAAATACTAGGACTTTTTCTTTTCCTGTTAGAACAATTTTATTTCTGTATATACATATTCACGTATACTCAAGTGCATAAATGTGGTTTTGTCATACATTCTTTCTGTGTATTCACACTTTTTCTTGATGCCTTTCCCATTTCTCCCCATAACTCATGTTTATTTAATCATATATAGACATACACAGGCTGATTTGGTCTTTGTTCAGCTCTGGGGAAGAAGGATGTATGACTTTATTTTAAAAGCTGTGTGCATTTGACTTGTGCTGGTATGTGCTTACGTTTAAGAAGAACTTTCTAGAAGAATAAATAAGACGTTGTTTATTCCTGGTGAGTGGGACTCTTGAAGGAACAGGGACAATGTGTTCCTCTTCCTCACTCCTCTTTTCAGTATTCTTTATCACTCAGAAAACTATCTGGTAAACATTATAACAGGATAGTAATTAAAATGAAAGGAGGGATTAGAAAAGGAAGGCAGTGAACAAACATTGGAAAATACATAAATAATAAAAGGAAATGCTAATTGCAATGTTATGTGCCTATTAAATGAGCAAATGAGAAATACTTAATCCTATTCTAGTAATGTTGCTGAACTGTACACTGATCTAACCCTTTGAAAATGATGACGCACTTGTACCAAGAGCTATAAAATTGGTCATACTTTTGATGAATTTGACTTTTGGGAATCAACTTTAGGGAGATCCAATTTATAAAAGTAATTAAATGCACAAAGATGCTTGTTGCAGCATTCAACTGAAAAATTAACGTGTGTTATCAAAAATGCACAGGGTAAAATACTAAGCTCTCTCCCTGACCCTCAGTCACTCCCAAATAGTGCCCTGAGTGGATGGTTGGCATTAGTTCTCCTGAGAAGTAAACTGACAGTCTGGTTTATTAGTTGGTCACTTGCACATTTGGTTAACAGGAGTCATTCCTCTAGCATTTGATGAAGAGTTGAGAGACCTGAGTTCTGGAAATGATACCTGTGAAGACCAGATCCTGGAGTTCTGGTTGGAGATTGCTCTTGAGGCTGGATAGTGACCAGCCAGGCTCTCCACCCACCCTTGCTGCAAGTCGGGACCGACCATTAAGGTTTCAGGATCTGGGCACTGTGTGTTCATTAATGCAGATGACACTGTTAGTTTTTTTGTGTGTTCGTTTTTACTTTGGGCTGACTCCGTACCTCACATAACCTTCACAGAAGGTTCGCATAAATGGGCATGCATAAATAATTTTTTAAATAATTTTTTAAATGGAGAAAATTGTTGGTAAGATCTCATAAGCAAAGTCTTTTAAAAACAGGGTTCTAAAAAAATAAAAATAAAAACAGGGTTCTTTGAGGGCATGGGTGGAAAATAATTAAAGGGGTCCTTCGAACCACTTTTTGAGATTCGTCATTCTTTTATTCAACCAAATAGTCGAGTAGTGACTTTGTACTGAACAGTATGAAACAGGTATACTTTTAAATCCTTGCATGGTTTACTGTCTGGGATGGGAGTTAGAAACATGTAACCAAGCCATTACAGTATAGTGTGATAAATGTAGTGATGGGGGAGAAGTACATGATCCTGTAGGAGAGCAGACATTATCTTGTTTAATTTTCACAGTACCCTATGAGGTAAGTGTTTCTTTTTTTAAAACTTAAGATATATTTATTTTAGAGAGTTGGGGGCAAAGGGTGGGGGGAGAGAATATCTCAAGCAGACTCTCCAATGAGCAGAGAGCCTAGCGAGTGCTCAGTCTCACGACCCAGAGATTACGATCTGAGCTGAAATCAAGAGCCCATCCCTTAACTGACTGAGCCACCCAGGTGCCCCGAAGTAAGTGGTGGCTTTACAATTGAGGCCCGAGAGCATAATTTATAGAAGTCTAGGTGAGAGGTGATGGTGGCTTAGGGGTAAGGTGGTAATAGTAAAGTTGGAAAGATTGGAATGAATTTAGGATATATGGTAGTTTATCAGTTCTGAGGGTTTTTTCCCCCGCAGTTTTGAAATTGGGATGCATCACATGTTTAATAGCATGTCATCATTTGCTAGTGTTTTCTTTTTTTCTTTCTTAGAGGTACATATGCCTTAGGTTAGGTGAGTTGTATTCTAGAGGTAGAGCCAATAGATCTTGCTGATGGATTTGATGTAAGAGGTGAGAGAATGAGAGAAATCAGTGGTGATTGGTTTATGTTGCTGGGTGGATGGTGGTGCCATCAGCTGAGATTGGAAAGTGTCCTAGAAGAACAGGATTAAGGGAAGAAATCAGGAATTCTGTGTTGGCTCTGTGATGTTTCAAATCCTTAGTAGTAAATGTCTAAGAGGTTACACAAACAAGAGGAGTTTGGTGGAGAGTTCGAGGCTGGAAATATAAAATTGGGGGATGTGGGGTCTAGGGATAGTAGAATGAACAATCTAGAAGAGAGGGGACAACAACGCAAAAACAGTATAGAAAATTCCAGGAATAAAATCCTTGAGAAGGCTGGAGGGAGATGAGATCCACAGTGCAGGGGAAGGTTTGGCTGGAGACCATGGTAGAACATTGTGTTCATTGTTAACTCTGGAGGAAAAAGTCGGGCATAGTTACAGATAGGATTCGTTGGTGGGAGGACGAGGCAGTTTCTGTCTGATGGTTTTATTTTCCAGGGACTCATGAGACAAGGTCATTCACAGAGTGGAGGAGGTTTCTGCAGTTTGAAGGCAGAAGTACTACTGAAATACATACTGTAAGGGGCAGGGGACTGGTTTTCATTGATGAACCAAAGCCCACTTAGTACCCTCTGATAGCCTGGCTGCTCACTAGTCTTTTGTAGCCCAAGATTCTTTGTTTTGTGAATGCTACAACAAGATAGACAAGCAGAAATACCATATTTTAAAAATTACCAGGGGCACCTGAGTGGCTCAGTCAGTTGAGTCTCCAACTCTGGTCTCGGCTCAGGTTGTGATCTCAAGGTCCTGGGATAGAGCCCTTTGTCATCAGGCTCTGCAGTCAGCATGGAGTCTGCTTGATATCTCTCTCTCTCTCTCTCTCTCTGCCCCTCCCCCCATGTGTTCTTGATCTCTCTCAAATAAATAAAATCTTTTAAAAAAATTAAAACAATAAAAATTACCATTATGCTAAGTTAAAAAGAACTTGATCACAAAAGCAAAATGGGTCACCTAGTGGGCCAGCTATTGTAGGTGCTCAATAAACGTTAAATGAACAAATGGATGAATGTACCACAGATGTACCCACATTTTATTATAACTTTTTCTAAAAATTTTCAATAATTACCAGGGGAATATGGATGGGCCCATGATAAAAATAAATACAGAAGCATCTCTGGTGAAAAGTGAAAAGTCTGCCCTCACACATACCTGCCCTCCCATTCTTCTGCGGTAATAATGATTGATGTTGGTTCTTCTAGATCATCTTTTCCCCCTACTCCTGTACAAGCATACACCCATCTTTATGGTGTATGGGCCCAGTTTTAAAGGGGAGATCTTCTTTGGATCCTAGAAAGTTTTTGAAGGTTCTTGAGTCATATATTTTCAAAGCCTCTAATGTGATTTCTTAGTCCTTTTGTGGTAGGGTTCTGGTGAAACCAACTGGCTTTTCCCAGGTGAGTATGTTCTCTAATAACTGTGACATGAGCTTTGCAGCACTTGTGAAGAACTTGTACTCCTGGCGGCAGATTTTACTTGGAAAAGGTACCTAACCAAACTTGCCTCCTTTTTGACTATTTCTTCCCTAGAACTTTCCTTGGACTGCTTTTCCCAATGATTACTATCCAACCCAGAATTCGATGTTTTATCTTCAGGGATTAGAGTGAGAGTCTCCCTTGTGTAACCTTTTGTCCCTGATCCCTCTTTTCTTTCATCTGACCTCTAAATGTGTGTGTGTGTGTGTGTGTGTGTAACACAAAAGTATGTAAAAAGTATGTAAAAAGATAGATATGAATCACGTTTTAGTTTGTATATGGTGTTGTATGCTGTATATGGGTTTCGAGGTAACCCCGGTCATGATTTGGCCCATACCTGGGAAACCATACACCCAGCAAGAGTTTTCTTTGCTGATTAAAAAAAAACAAAACAAATTTAAGGCCTTCTACCAAGTATGTCAGTCCAGTGTACAGTGATTGATAAATGAATAGGAAATTGGGATCCCTGGGTGGTGCAGCGGTTTGGCGCCTGCCTTTGGCCCAGGGCGCGATCCTGGAGACCCGGGATCGAATCCCACATCGGGCTCCCGGTGCATGGAGCCTGCTTCTCCCTCTCCCTGTGTCTCTGCCTCTCTCTCTCTCTCTCTCTCTCTGTGTGTGTGTGACTATCATAAATAAATTTAAAAAATTGAAAAAAAAAGGAAATTGAACCAAGGGGGTGAGCCAGCATACATCTTGAAAAAACTGAAAAAGGTGTGTAATCCATCCAGTAACCAACCTCAAGGTTAAAATGAGAGCCCTCAGGAAGTGGTTAGGGTTACCTTGACACGTAAAACCTTTTAACTGTTATGTCCACCTTCTTTAGCACTTTTAGTTTCCCATGTGAGCTCTGTATCGCACTAGCTATTGCTAAAATAACCTATGTTAAGTCCTAGATTGTAGCTGGGCTCCAGCACTGAAGTGATGCTTACTGTAGCATGACTTGTTGGAGCTGGATCGTAGATCCATGTCATGAAGTGGATATCCATTCAGCTGCAATCTGGAGAGCTAAGGGATCCCAAGCCAGAATGCGCTTTGGTGTCACCTCAGGCATTACTGTGCAACTATAAGGGGCGAGGCAGCCTGCCGTGGGAAGGCCGGGAGAGGGTGTGGAGGGGTGAGTGCTAAGGTCTCTGGCATGTTATTAGGGGGGAGCAAAGAAGCAAGAGGCCCCAGCATCACAGTCTGGAGCAGTTGCAGCTTAGAAATCACCCTTCATTTGCTTCCTGAGAAATGGAGTTCAGCATTTGTCCTTCTGATTTTTACCTGTAATCTCTTCAACATTGAGTCCTTTCACCTGTGGCCCATTTCTCAGAATTCACTTTCATATCTTTGTTTTCTTATTTTTTCTTAAAGATTTATTTGTGTATTTTGGAGATAGAGTGGGGGTAGGGAGGGGCTGAAGAGAATCTCTGGCAGACTCTCCATTGAGCGCGGAGCCTGATGTGGGGCTCCATCTCACCTGAGATCACGACCTGCGTCAAGACCAAGAGTTGGACATTTAATGGACCGAGCCCCCCAGAGAACCCCTCACTTTTCATGTCTTTTTTTAAAGATTTTATTTATTTATTAGAGACAGAGACACAGGCAGAGGGAGAAGCAGGCTCCATACAGGGAGCCTAATGTGGGACTCGATCCCTGGTCTCCAGGATCACACCCTGGGCTGAAGGCGGCGCTAAACCGTTGAGCCACCAGGACTGCCCACTTTAACATCTTTTATTTTTTTTTAATTTTTATTTATTTATGATAGTCACACAGAGAGAGAGAGAGGCAGAGACACAGGCAGAGGGAGAAGCAGGCTACATGCACCGGGAGCCCGACGTGGGATTCGATCTTGGGTCTCCAGGATCGCGCCCTGGGCCAAAGGCAGGCCTAAACCACTGCGCCACCCAGGGATCCCCTCACATCTTTTAAATAGAAATAAATCACTTGGCAGAAGACAGGCTTCTCGCCAGTGGCCGATGATAACTAACATTGTTTCCCTGTCTTTGATTCTGCAGTAAATACTGAGCACCTTGTTGCTTCTAATTTTTCTTCACCTCCCCTACTGTGATGTTAATTTTGTAACTCCTAAAAACCTTTTGCATTTCAGAAACACTGATCGGTGGTTCTCTCCCTGTGAGATTTGGACTGTGGGCTTGCCGTTTGAGGTTAATTGCCTTCCTTTATAACTGTGTATGTCTCATTTTTTGCAGTTGCATTATTACTGTGGACTCAAGCAGTGATGGAGAATTTGAGCCCTGTAAGTAGAGTCCCCTCAAAGCATCAATGTCCATTTCAAGGTGTAACTTAATCCTGTCTCTGTGGCGATGACTGAAATGTAATTTTGGACATTTGATGTAAGCTGGATCAGGGTTTGTCTCCCCCAGGGTCTCTCTCCAGATTGGTGAAATGATTATTTCCCTGCTGTTAGGAGCAGAGGCAGTTCTCTGTGCTCGCTTTCCAGTTTGCTACCTTGACTTTTTCATTTTAGGCCTCCTTTTATTTCCTTGGGGTAGGGAGGGATTTAAGAGTCTCCCATCGATTTTAACCAGCCCTAACTTCTGGACTTTGGCTTTAGGGAGTTAAAGATGGGGGTAACCAGATTTTTACCCTGCTTCCTGACCCCCTTTTTTTCTCTGATTTAGATGCAACCAAAAGGAAGGAGCAGAAGGGGAATGTCAGGTGAGTAGGAAAAGTAGTGAAATTGGACATTTTTTGAGGGATGACATTGTGGGTAAGAAGATTTGAGAATAAACATCCTGCTTCCTCTGCACACTGTGTTCAGGGTTATAGTGGGTATCTGATCTCACAACCAGGTTCAAGTATTAAGTTCTTTATGTCAGGCTCATTAACTACATTGGTCGGTTTCTTCCTCAGAATGCCTTTGTGATGATCTGTCTTCTAACTTGCCTTCTCTACTCCTTTTGCCCTTATGGGCCAAAGGGGTGTTGCCCACCTGCCGGACTATAGGAGGTGCTAAGAAAAATTACTGGAATAAATCCAAAATAGGATGCTAGTTAAGTGATGTGTCTACATTGACTCCTTGAATTACCGTAGTGGGTTTGTTGAGGTATGGCATATAACAAAATTCACTCTTTTTTTTTAAATTTATAATAGTCACACAGAGAATGAGAGAGAGAGAGAGAGAGAGGCAGAGACATAGGCAGAGGGAGAAGCAGGCTCCATGCAGGGAGCCCGACGTGGGATTCGATCCAGGGTCTCCAGGATCGCGCCCTGGGCCAAAGGCAGGCGCTAAACCACTGCGCCACCCAGGGATCCCAATTCACTCTTTTTGATATACAGTTTGATGAGATTTGACAAATGTATATGGTAGTGTAAACAGCACAGTCAGAGATGCAGGATATTTCCATCATTGTCATTCATGTTTTACTTCTTTTTAAAAAAGATTTTATTTATTTATTAATGAAAGACACAGAGAGATAGGCAGAGGGAGAAGCAGGCTCCATGCAGGGAACCTGATGCGGGACTCAATCCTGATACTCTAGGATCACACCTTGAGCCAAAGGCACACACTCAACCACTGAGACACCCAGGTGTCCCTTTTATTTTATTTCTTTTTTAAGAGATTTTATTTATTTGTTTGAGAGAGAACAGGTGGAGGGAGGTGCAGAGGGAGAGGGAGAAGCAGATTTCCCGCTGAGCAGGGAGCCTGACAGGGGACTCGATCACAGGACCTTGGGATCATGACCTGAGTCAAAGACAGATGCTTAACTGACTGAGCCACCCAAGTGCCCATTCTTTATTCTTTAATTTTTAAATTTTTGTAATTTGACAATATTTTTTATTTTTCATTTTTAAAAAGATTTTATTATTTTTTTTAAGTAATCTCTACACGTGGGGCTCAGTGAACCCTGAGATCAAGAGTCACATGCTCCTCCGATTGAGCCAGCCAGGCACTCCTACAATATTTGTGGGTAGCACAGGGGTTCTGCCGAGTTTGGCTCCTGCCCAAGCAGTCTGTCAGAGTGGTGCTGGTTTTGGGGTGCAGAGAATGGTACCCGGGAGAAACCTCCCCACTGTCAGGCTGAGTCTCCCAACTCTGGCCCTCTACCCTTCTTGGGCAGCTGGATCTCAACCCTCATAAAGAAAGCTGGCAATTAACTAATGGAAATCAGCATTTCCCTAGTCCCTTTCTGCCTTGCACCTGGACTGCTAGAACATATGCCCTCTGACAGCCCATTTCACTCAGTACTTGACAGATAACCCCTTTTGAAAGGATTGAGACAGATGGAATGGTTTGGTAGAAAGATGGAAAGTCAGGAATAAGGATCGAGCAGTTCCAACGAAGGGGAACAGAGTTATCACAGGAAACAAGCCAACAGACCATTTCTAGATGACCACATTCACGGTAGAGGAGTCAGGAAAGGCTGTGGAAAGAAGACTGCGGTGCTTATGTTTGTCTTTGGTCTTTCCCTGTCCCATCCCTCAGCTATGTGGTGATTGACTCAGACTCTGAGGATGAGTACTTCAGTGATAAAGTGAGATCTCACATATCTGATGTGAGCAGCGAAGGTCGGTATACTCCTTACTAACTGAGGGAAGTGGCTGAGCTCTGCAGCCCCATAACATGGTGGTTTTGGGATACAAGGCAGCAAATGTTCTATTCTAGCTTTTCCACTGGATGTGGATATGGCTGGATTCCCCACCCCACCCTGGTGAATTTCCAGACACAGAAGCAGCTGTTCTTGCTGGTTTAGACCTTGGCCGTCCCCCTCTGTAGAGTTTTTACCTACCAAGCAAGCGCTATATATGGGGCCCTAGGGTGGGAAGGGTGGGGAGAAAAATCAGGAACTGACACTTCAGAAGGTATAAAGATCTCTCTTCTATCCCTCTCACCCCGCTGCCACGACGCTTTTCCTCCTGTGTGTGGGAATGACAAAGCAGGGAGGGGGTTAGGTGAGAAATGTGGGTTCATTTTTTCCAGCCTGTTGGAGACTTAGGTAGGTGATGGGTCTGAGTCAGCCCACCACGACTTCTCAGGAGAACCCTTGCTTGCTCCAGCTAGCTGTTTGTCTTTGCCTTTCACTGTTATCCTCATATTTTCTAGAGATTTTTGTTTTTCTCAGAGCTCAATAATCTGAAGTTGAGTGTGTGGCAGGGAGGTGGAGGGAATATGTGATTATGTCTCTTGAATTTCAGATGAGATTCTAGATGTGCTCTCTGATAATGAGGAGCAGCAGCGTCCTGCCCAGGAGGCTCCAATACTTATTACTGATGATGATAGTAGTGATTTTGAGGGCCCTGTGCTGATAATAGATGAGGATTCGTGTGATCAGGGCCAAGCTGCCTCAAATGGAAATGCGATGGATATCTCTGATGTCTTCCAACACAATTCATCTCATCGTGTTGGTGAGCCGAATCTTGGTGAGAATCTCTGCCAACCACCAAATGTTGCTGAGGCTACAGTGGAGATTCCAGATGAAGAGCCCACCCCTGTGGTAGAACAACCAAGGAAAAGGAAGAGTAAAACCAAAAATATATGTGTGACACCTGGTAAGCCATTCAAATCAAGGATGCCTGAATACGTCTCACCCCCCAAGTGCACCAGCTGTGCCTGCCATGCCTTCCCCCTGGATAGGTCTGTCCTGTCAAGTCTGCCTGTCCTGCCTACCAACCTTATTGCCATTTCATCTTTTTTTTTTCTTATTGCCATTTCAGCAACTTCCTCATGGCTAAGGGAGACAGCCATCCCATTGAGAAGGATCTTTCTGGAAATGGGAGAGGAACACCCACGTCTTGATTTGCCATTCCCTCTGCCTGGCATGCTTTCTCTCTGCACTTTTTGTCCTGAGGAGATCCCATTTTTCTTGGGGCCCAGCCCACTTGTCAGTTCCTATAGGAAGCCAGACATCAGAGATGCTCCTCCCTTCTGGGTCCCCAAAGTTCTCAGACCCCATCTCTACTGAAGCACTGATAACCTGGTTGTCTTAGAATATGTTTCTGAAGCTGTCCCCCATGTAGACAGTGAACCTCTTGATGGGGCAGGACTCTTACTCATTTTTAAGTCTCTCCCAGGGTCTACCCTGGTATTCACATGATAGATGTCTAATACTTTTTTTTTACATAAATGAATGAATGACACTACTGTTAAAGAAGTCTCTGGCTAGAGCAGTTGGCAGTATATGGGTGCTAACCAAAGATGGAAAGATTTGGCTTGTTTATTGAGTGGAGGTCTTGCCTAGAATCTGAGCCACTTCCTTTTTTTTTTAAGATTTTATTTATCTGAGAGAAAGACAGCAGGAGCACGGGATGATGGGAGGGGCAGAGAGAGAGGGAGAAGCAGACCCCTTGCTGAGCAGGGAGCCCAATGGGGGGACTCCATCCCCAGACCCCAAGATTATGGCCTGAGCCGAAGGCAGACGCTTCACCGACTCAACCACCCAGGCGCCCCTGAGCCACTTCCTTTGAGCAAGTGTGTGAGCTATACCATAACATTCCTTATACTTCTTGTGCCTCAGTTGCCTACACAGCCTAACCTCTAGCAGCATGCTCATGTAACCTCATTACATTCCTTGTACCTATGATGGATTCCTACCTGGTGTCCTCTGCTAGCAGCTCTGGGATTCATGTAGGAAGAATCGTTGACACGGACCGATGGAGAGCATGCAGATTTTAGACAGTTTCTGTTTCTGGATGGTGCTCTGGGTGTGGCTGTGGGGGCTCCTCCCAGGTGTACCTCTCTGCCAGTTGCTTGATAGGACTGATTTTCAGGGTACAAACCAACTATTGTCTTTTCAGCTGTGAGAGCATCCAAAAGGCGTGCGCCTTCGAAGAAAAAGCCTGGTGCAGGGAAAATTGAAAAATCCAAGCCTGGGTACGTACAGTTCATGTTAAACTGCATGGGAATCAATTGTACCATTGTCCTGTGTTAAGCAGTCCAACTGGACTTAGGGGAGGGTCTTCAAGGGGATGAAGGAATCTGGTGGGGGAGGAGGGCAAGGTTTCCATCCCTGAATTGGGAGGGGCATAAGAGCAGCAGCAGGAGGAGGAGGAGATAGATCCCTGTACTTTCTCCAGCCAGGCCAGAGCCCTTTTGCTCCCACAGCAGCTCTGGCCTTTCCTTTGTCCTTAAACTCAGATCAAAAAATAATATGTAGCCGAACATGAGAGTTTTCCTCAGGCTGAATACTGCCTGTTGGCATGAAACCAAAGTGAATGGAGCCAAGATGGTAAGAAGGCAGAGTGGACATGTTCCCATCCAATAGAATTGGAGAGAGGGTGGTCAAGATCGCCTTCCAGGTTTTCCTGGTGCTTTGGCCACATCCAGTTACTCCTACTCCCTGTATGTGTTCTTACACATTTCAAAAGCTTAAACATTAGGATGAAGTAGATGGCTTGTAGTTCCTTTATCTTTATGAAGCTAGATGTAATAGATCTATGTAATGGAACCTGAGAACAACAGATCATTTAGCCCAAAGACATGTCAATACTGAAAGGAAGCTAAAAATGAACATGTTTTTTGTTTGTTTTTGCATTCAGATTCCAGGAAGTTCTCATCTTTCCTCTTAAAAATGGGATGTAGTAAGCATAATGTTCTTTGTTCTAACTTGCATCCAGGACTAATAGATCTGAGTTATCTTGTGAAACAAGGGATGTATTCGAAGGACTGTTGATTTTCTTTTCACTTGTATTCTGGAACAATAAATGCATCTTAAAGGGAGGAGAAGGACAATGTGTCAGGCATGGGGGAGGGGGGCAGCAAAGCAACTTGGACCCAGGCATAGAGGCTCTCTTTGTTTCTGCACCTCTTGCTTGGTGAGGCAGCTGATGTAGTTTTATGTTAAATGATCCTTTTGGTAGTTCTTTCTTAGATGGATCCCTGTTCAGCAAAGTGTCTTCTCTGGATTCCTAGATGCACAGTATATAAGCTGCTTTTGCCTCTAGGCACACATGCCTCAGGTAGCACCCGGGTTGCTTGGCTATGGTGTGAGCAGAGAAGGCATATAAGCTGCCCCTTGGTGTCATCCTCGGCGTCCTTCAAAGGAGGCTAGTCTGTTAGGATGCCTCACTGTTGCCTTGGCGCTTCCTGTGGCAGCCTGTAGGCTTCCTGTTGTGCTTCACATTGTTCCTGTGTAGGCTGCTTGTTGGTCATGGTATCTGATGTACCTGCTTGGAGTCTGGTTGGGTCCTCTGATGTGGAGCCACTCTGCCTGCAGTGAAGTGGTACAGAGACATCGAGGGGAAGGCGAGCTAAACCACAAGGCCTGCTTGATGTCAGCGCCAACCTGGGGGGGTCCCCATTCTCTGCTGAGGCCTGCAGATGGTTTGGGCTTTCGCCTGCTACCTTCTCGGATGGAAATTTGCTTTCAGGACAAAGTAATTTGAGGCAGCTGGCATTAGTCACCATTATTGGGCTTTGGGGTCAAGACCCCTACTTTAAGCTGCCTTGGCCTGGTTTGGTTCTTATTTCCTCTCCCAACCCCAGCCCCCTCACAGATGGTTTATTTTGTGACTTAGCGGTTCACAAGTGTCCTGGCAAAATCTTAGTCTCCAGGGTTCTGTGAAGTCAGAAACTCCACGTACCTGTGTCTGCTCCTGTTTTATCTTTCCAGCCCTATGGGCTCATCTCCTGGGACTTGGGGGTTGTTGCGGCCAGGAGAAAAGGGTGCAATGAACAGCTATTACAAATGTTAGTCCTTCATGCACTTAGCACTGTTCTTTATGCATTGGAATTAGGCCTCAAACGATGGAGCAGCAGTAGTGGTCAAAGGGGAAGACCCTGAGATTGGGGTCCGAAGATTCAGTGTCTCTCTGAGCTTTGGGCTATCACCCAAACCCTGGATCTTGGTTTACTCATCTGCCAAGTGGAGATCATACAAATAGTAATCACTTCTTTGGAGGGTAGCTGTTAGGATTAAATATGATCACACAGAAAGCAGTTCTCTGCACATGAGGAAGCACTACACAGATGGTAGTTCTCAGGAGTGGTGGAGATGTGGTCATTCTCAGTCTCATGGGCAAATGGGTTGTGTGCCCAGGCATTGAATTGAACTGTGGGGAATCACACTTCCTTTCCCAAGAACATTCTACTTGCTCGATTTGGCCATGGTGGAAATGGTAGCTGGAAACAGAGCTTGGGACCTGGTTGACCCCAAGGCCTTGAATGGCCAGGCCAAACAGTCGGTACAAGGCTGGGTAGGGACAGAATTGGGATGTGGCCTAGGAAAATGAATCGTAAGTGTTGGGATAGGGGGAGAAAGAAAGAAAGCCTGGAGGTAGGAAAGAGAGAGGAATGCTCTACTAGCAAGGCATCGAGGGGTGACCATGGGGTGCAAAGGAGGGCTGACTGGAAGAGCTGATGTAAAGGAGATCGCGGTCTTTTTTTTTTTTTTTTTTTTTTTAGATTTATTTACTCATGAGAGAGACAGAGAGAGAGGCAGAGACCTAGGCAGAGGGAGAAGTAGGCTCCTCACAGGGAGCCTGACATGGAACTCAATCCCCAGACTGGGATCATGCCCTGGGTCAAAGAAAGGCAGATGCTCAACCACTGAGCCACCCAGGTGTCCCGAGATCGCGAGCTTTGTATCCTGTTTGAATATGGGGTGCGGGGAGAAAGTGGATTTGGAAAGGCCTCTGAGGTTTTCAGCCTGGTAGAACAGAAAAAGTCTAATGACTAAACACGTGGAATGGAAGATGTGCTCAGGTTAATTGGTTGGAAATGTGTTACCTTAGTTTAATATCTGCCCCAGGAGAGAAGGGAAGCGAGATGGTGGATACAGGAAGAGGGCCCAAGGAGTTTTCTGAGTCTCTCTCCATATGACCTGTGTGTGTGTGTTTCTCTTTTTTCTTCCTTTAGCCACACACAACTCAGTTGAACTTACTTTTGCAGGAGGGCTATGTGCAAAATACCTGGATGTTTCTTGCGTGACCTAGAAAATGCAAAGCAGTATTCTGGAAGGAATTTCAAGCAGAACAAGGACAGCCTGGTCCAGAAGATCTACGCCCTGTTTAACAGTTCGGTCTTTGATAAAAAGGTATATTTGATGAATAAGCACTGGATGAGCCCCAGATATATGCTCTTGGGTGCTGTGAGGTGTGCCGATTGGATATTTCCTGCTGTGGAGAGGTGTCAGCTTAGATGGAAAGATGATGTGTGTATAGGTGAAAGAAATAAGAGAGTGTCTATGAGTAATTATCTGTGGTACAGACTATTACCGGCACGGGAGATCAGCAGGGGCAGAAAAAAAAATCACTGAGAACCTGAGTGGTCAGTAAATAAGATTGCCTGCAGGAAGGAAGTAAGACTTCTGGTTCTTGAGGGATGGTAGGTGGAGAGAGCAATAGTGGTGGAGGAGAGGGCGTGTGTTGATCCTTAACTATCTAGAAAGACAGGCTTTATGTTGAAGAGTAATGGGAAGGAGCTCTGTGACCCTGGGCAAGCCCCTTTCTGCCTCAGTTTGCCTCATCTGTAAAACGGGAGCAATGATAGTATCCGCTGCTTCACAAAATTATTGTTAGGCCTTGGGAAGGTAATACACCTGAAGTACCTAGAACAGGGCCTGTGACACAGTAAGCAATACAAGTTGGGCCATTACTTGGTCTCAAGAGCATAGGACTTAAGTAATGGAGGGCCTTGGGCATCAGGTTGGCGGAGCTTAAATTAAGATCAGTAGGCACCACCGCACAGGGATGTGATAGGACATGAAGTGGCTGCTGGGAAGAACTACCTTGTCTAGAACGTGGGGTGTGGACTGCATCAGAGAGAACTTGGAGGCAGAATCTAGAGCCTTGGCGGTCATTAGGGTTTTCAGACTTAAGTATTTCCGCTGATGCAACCATCTGCCAGGCAAGTCCACCAATCTTTCTAAGCGAAAGTGCCTTTGGGGAAGGCACTCCTCATTCCTCATGACTGTGGTGTTACATCCAGTGGCCGATCGGGGGACCAAGGTGCATGTGCAATTTCAGCTTCCTGCTCTTACACGTGGGGCTCCACCTCCCTACCTCAGCAAGTTTTCACTTCTCTCCTTGGCTGCCCCGACCTGTGTCCCCAGGCAGCGCAGCAAGTCCTGCATGCCTGTGCCCTCAGCCCTTTCCCTTGGGTCCCAACTGCCTGTCTGTTGTTTTCACCTGGGCTTCAACCTGGCTTTTACGCTCCTTGGGATGTTTCAATTTGTGGAGCTCTTGAGTGAATAGTCTTTGGTTGACTTAAAACTGCTCGCTGACTCACAGACTCTGCTTGCTGTTTTGTTCCCAGCTGCCTGAGAAGATAGATATTGGCTGGAACAAGAAGATGCTGAGAACTGCTGGCCTATGCACCACTGGGGAGACTCGTTACCCGAAGAAGGAGCGTTATGCGAAGATTGAGATTTCTCTGAAAGTCTGCGACTCTGCAGGTGACCAAGGCAGCTTTCCTTGTGGCACAGGCACAGGTTACTCTTAGGAGCTGGTCTTTTTTGGCAGCCTATGCCATAGCTTTATCTGTCATTCCTGGGTAGAGAGGCCTGCTGGGCATTGCTCTGAGGACATTATTTTTTTTTCCTAGAAATAAAAAAAAAAGATTTATTATTTATTTAAGAGGGTGAGTGGTGAGCATGAGCAGGGGGAAAGGCAGAGGAAGAAGGGAGGGAGGGGAAGGGGCAGACTCCCCTTCCCCCCAGAGCGCAGAGCCCAGACCCTGAGATCAGGACCTGAGCTGAAACCAGGAGTCAGAGGCTTCACCGACTGAGCCACGCAGGCGCCCCTGCTTGGAGGACATCATCAGATGTCTTGCCATCCTTGAGAATACAACTTGGCCATCTTTCCATTGGGCTAACTCTCTCTGCAGCTAGCTCCCCCTCGCCAGCGGTAACATCTCCATTCACCCAGTAACTGAGGTTCAGGACCCCCCTATCCCCTACCTTGCTTAGCTTAGCCAGCCACCAGAGCTTCAAATTGCTCCTCCACCCTTATTCCTTTGCCTCCACCCAGGCATGGGCCCTCAGCACCACGCTCTTCATCTTGCTCTGTTTGGTCTCCAGCACGCTGCCACGTCGCTTTTCTGCTTAGACACATAGGGCTCCAGAGTGCAGAGCCTGGCTTTCCAGGCCTTCCAGTCTGCCTCCCCCCACTCTGCACTCTGCTTGGCCATGTATGTCTCTCAGTATGCTGCTGCCAGCTGTACTCCAGCCAAACTTTCCTTACCTTGGCTTTCAGAACGTGCCACACACCTTCCTGGCCTCAGCCTTTGCTCACATTTTTTACTGTACCTAGAATGGCCTTCCAGACCTTGCAGAGCCAGCCAGTTGTCAAGGGGCCGGCTCAGATCCCATTTTCTCCCTGGAGCTTCTCCTGACCAAACACTACAGCCATGGCCATGGATCCCTGCTCTGTCCACTTCTGTTTATGGAGGGTGGAAACTGGGGCTTGGCTGGATGTATTTCTAGCAGCATCCCACAAGAGAATGAGCACGTTTGAGCTGTTCTGAAAAGACGTGCTCACCTAAGGTCTCTGATGTCAACAAAATCAGTTGAAGTGGGTAGAAATGTTACTTTTCAGTCCTGGGAAGCCACCACTCCTGCTTCCTTACATAGGCTTATAGGAAATGGCTTTATGTGTGGCATGGGCTGAGAGTCTGGGGGTAGTTGGTTAGCAGACTGGAGCGAATTGTTTTAAGTGCTATGATTTTTTTTTCATAACCTCTTCCAAGACCGACTCCGGGATACTTTGATCCATGAAATCTGCCACGCAGCCTCCTGGCTATTGGATGGCGTCCGTGATTCTCATGGTGATGCATGGAAGTATTATGCCAAGAAATCAAATATGGTGCACCCAGAGCTGCCCATGGTCACCCGCTGTCATAACTACAAGATTAACTACAGGATCCACTATGAGTGTACCCGGTGCAAAACCAGGTAAGACCCTTGGCCTCAGATTTTTCTTCAGTGATGCTTTCTACCACAACCTCCAACTATTTCCTTGTGATTTTGTTAGTACATGGCCAGCTGACTTGAGTAAACCTTCTCTGTTCCTTTCCACCTCTTCTTCCTCCATGCTCTCCTATGTGGAGCCAGCTTGGCCTGCCGCCGCCATTTAGGTGTCCCACCCACTCTGAGAGGCCACAGGAAGTGTCTCAATCTGGGCCCCAGGCCAGCAGCTCAGAAAACATGCTGAGGTGCCCGTGACTGATATCATGTGATATCATGTGCCTTTATCATGTGATGTCTTTTGCCTCCATAGGGTTGGCCGCTACACCAGATCCTTGAACACTGATCGCTTCATCTGTGCCAAATGCCAGGGACCTCTGGTCATGCTGCCGCTAACTCGAAAGGATGGGACCCCCATTGCGCCCCATGTGAGACCCTTTGCTAAGTATGTGCAGGAGAATTATAGAACCATTAAACATGAGACGGAAGGGATAAGCCATGGGGATGTGATGAGAAGGCTCAGCAAGGATTATGCCATTAGGCAAGGGCGGGATCGGGATCAGGATCAGGATCCAGATCAGGATCAGGATCAAGATCGGGATCAGGATCAGGATCATTGAGATTATCTGGGAGTGTATTCGTGTGGGCTGAGCACCCTACCGCTGAGAAGTTTTAGAAAAATATCTTTGTTTCTGCTAAGTGACGAATAATAAGATTTAACCCTTTTCATTATAGCCTCATACTGTTAGTGATGATTGTTCTTAAGCAAGGATTCTGTTGCTAAGCATTTTGTATCCTTGATGGTACTCACAAGCCCTTTGGGTATATTACTTAGATTCCATAGTTTTAAGACATAGAACATAAGTGCAAAAGGCAAACTGCATTTTTGGGAGGGGTGGGTAGAAAAAATGAGAATGATGCTGGGAAGAGAACCAGTTTTAAAGGCAGCATTCTCAGGACTGGGGCTGCCAACATATATACCTAGACATAAAAGACATGTTTCGTGAGTTGCTCTTGATATTGAGTAAAGCCATGTAAGCCAATGTAACCATTCATTAACCCGCCCCCCAAAAAACCCAATAAAATGTTTTCTGCAATTTACTGGTTAACAGAGTCCATTCATTGGCAGCCTGTGCCTAGCACAGAACAAACCCTCAGGTCTTTTTGTCCAAGACCCTGGATGTCAGAAGTTGTCCAGAACGTGTCTGCGAGAGCACTCTGGGCCGTTCCGCTGTTCTGGGTTTCTCCCTGATTTTGTGACTGTCCCTAAGCACCTCAGTGCTTTCTGCATGGAGCCTGCTTCTCCCTCTCCCTATGTCTCTGCCTCTCTCTCTGTGTCTCTCATGAATAAATAAAATCTAAATAAAATTGTCCTGATGTAGGACTCGATACTGGGACTCAGGGATCATGCTGAGCCGAAGGCAGACGCTTAACCACTGAGCCACCCAGGCATCCCTCAGGGAGCCTTCCTAAATAGTTCCAGCCCCAGGGCTCTGAGCGCCATGTTCCCCGTGTGCTACGCGTTTGCCTCATGGCCTCAGCTGTTGGGTATTTATTGCTACTTCTCACCACATCGTCCCTGCTGGCCGAAGCTTCTGGAGTGCAGGGACTGTCTTAACTCATGTCTGAAGGCCCTTGCCCCAAATCATGCCTAAACAGAGTCTGGCAGGTCTGGTAACTGTTAGCCCACACCCATGCACCTGGGTGCTTCCTTGAAAGGGGCAAGAGTACCCAGGAGGGCAGAGAGGAGGCTCAACATAGCTGTTAACACAAGCAGTGGCACTGGCTGGCACAGCCCTAGGGCCAGGCAAGGAGAACAGGAAATGCATCCCTGAAGCCTGTGCCGGGGTGGCTCTAATGATGTAATGATGCACGACTGACCTCCCTGGTCCCAACGATCATGTTTATTGAAAAGTCGTAAGCAGAATTTTAGACATGACAATTAAACATGGAGCAACTACAGAGATCTTGGGGACCACAGCTACAGTTGCTGCTGAGTTTGGCGGAGGGCTGGGCCAAGTTCCCATAGGGGCAGCCTCTACTATGCTGTTGGCTTCATACTTCCTGAACCGGGAAAGACCAAGGTCTAGTAACTGGATAAGAAGGGCGGTGGGGGCCCCAAGGCAGCAGTGGGGTGCTTTCTGGAATGGCAGTGGGGCTTGGCAGCTAAGGAGCAGCAATGGCGTAGCTCCTAGAGCTAGTGGGGGGTTGAGGGGGTGGCCCCCCAGGAGAACCATGGGTGCTGGGGCTGCTGGAGAATCCCAGGGGCAGCTTGAGGAGTAAGGCAACAGGGAGAGGGAGGGAGGAACCTGGAGGGTGGGGGCAGCCAGGCTGCTCAGTGAAAGGAGAGGCCGCCCCCCCCTCCAACCTCACAAGCCGGAGTAGGAGGCCTCTGTGGTCTCTGACCAGGATGACTCCCGGCGGGACGATGTTGGATGCCGCTGGTGCCCCCTATGGTCAGGGCAGCCCAGGCGCAGGAGTAGCGTCCACATTCGCTCTCGGAACTTGACACCCACAAAGGCGTAGAGCAGTGGGTTGAGGCAGCAGTGCATATAGCCCAGGCCTGAGGTGACAGACTTGGCCACATCCACACGGCTTTCTCGGCCACAGTTGCGGTCCAAGGCCCCCAGGTCCATGAGGGTGTCTACCAGCACCACCAGGTGGTAGGGGGTCCAGCAGAGGGCAAAGGCCACCACGACCACCACAACCAGCCTCATGGCCCGCAGGCGCCGCTGGCCCCTGGAGACCAGCAGCACAGCCAGGATGCGGGCATAGCAGTAGGCCATGACCAGCAAGGGCAGTAGGAAGCCAGCAACGAGCTGCAGCCCACGCAGGGCCGTGCGGCCCACCTGTGGGAAGTTGTACTGACAATGCGTGGCATTGAGGCGCTCGTCGCGGTTGGCCGACAGGAAAATGAAATCTGGGATGGCAAAGAAGAGGCAGAGCCCCCAGACGACCACACAGGTGAGGGTCACGCGGGCTGGGGGGCCCCGGCGGTAAAGCTGCGTGGCGTGCACGATGCTCAGGTACCGGTCAAAGCTGATGCAGGCGAGCAGGAGGGCCCCCGCATAGAAGTTGATGTTGAACAGGGCCCCGGCCACCTTGCAGAGGCCTGATCCGAAGACCCACTGGACGGCGGTGTCCACCGCCCACAGGGGCAGCGTGAGCACTAGCAGCATGTCGGCCACGGCCAGGTGGAGCAGGAAGGTGTCGGTGCTGCTCCGCGCCGCCCGCTGACTCAGCAGCACTGCTGCCACAGCCCCGTTGCCCAGAAGCCCCAGCAGGAAGAGGAGGCCATACAGGGCGGGCAGGAAGGCACGGTCAAAGTTCAGGCTGATGTCCTGCGGGCAAGGCGGGGAGGCACAACAGGAGTCGCTCTCATTCTCAGCATAGTCGTAGGAGGAGCTACAGTTCTCCAGGAGGTAGGTGAGCTCCGAGGCTTGGAACACCTGGCGTTCACTCATCTGTGGAGGGAGGCACGGGGCGCACTGCATGAAGGCCTGGCGGTGCTCCTTGCTGCTTGGAGCCCGGTGGCTCTGAGGGGCTCCTCTGGGAAAGCAGGCCCCAGGCCTGGGCCGTCCCCTGGAACCGTCCCTGCCTTTCTTCCAAGGCTTTGCCTTTACTGAACTCGGGTCTGCCCAGCCTTGGACCACCCTTACCACCGCCACCCTTCTCTCTCACCCTCTTGGGCCATCCCATCAGCCCAGGGATTGTGGGCCCCAGAGAGGGCTTCCCTCCCAAGTCAAGAACCTTCCCTGCCCCCTCTCCTCTCTCCTGGCTCTTCCTGGTTGGCCGGCTAGCCCTTCTGTTTTCCAGGCCACACCTAGTTTTACTACCTTCCTCCCCAGGCGCCTCCCTTCAGTCCCCCCTCCCAGTCAGCCACTGGCCCTCCACTTCCCTCCTTAGTCCTTGCCTGGGGACCCCCAACTTCCTGCCCCTATGGGGCCTCTACACAGAAGCGCCCCCCCCAATCACGTGCTTTTTGCTCCCATTCTTCCCTTCCCAAACTCCGAGGCCATCTGCCACCCACTGGGGGCTCCCCCACCAAGCTCTAGTGGAAATATTCCTTACCCCGTGACCCTGCAAAGTTGCCCCCTCCCCGGGCTGCAAGCCTTCTCCGTGTCAATTTGGTCCCGCATGGAAGAGTAAGTTCCAAGTCATTGCTGAAGGAAGCCTTAGAGGCCATCCAGTGGTAAGCCTCTACCTCCCACTTTCTGCAGATGAGGCACCAAAGCCAGACAGGAAAGGGGACTTGCCTGTGGTCATACATAAGTGGGGGGCCAAGGTGGGTTCCCAATTCCCTGTCCCGGGGCTCCTTCGGCCACCACCCCTGCCTTTTCTATCTACTCACGCAGCCCTCAGGTGGCCCTGGCTCATGGGCCAGCCCTGACTTTCACCTAGTGTCCTGAGTGACGTTCCCCTAGTGTCTCTACTCTAAGCTGTGCACCGGACCCCTGGGCAGCAGCACTCACCTCAGGGACCATGGCTGGGCTGGTACTCTGGCTGTAGGGCTGTGTGCCGCCTGCCCCCTCTGCTTTGGTGTTTGTGGTCAGGAACCTACACTACACAGAGGAAGTGAGATTTTCACATGATTCTCGGCAGCAACCTCTTCCATGGGGTTGTCTGTACCAGATCTCAGACCCGAGGCCCCGAGAGTTCTCATTCCAGTCATCCTCTACCCGGGCCAGGGGAAGCTGTTCTGGAGTAATTGGTCACAAGCCTGGGACCCAAAAGGCTGGGGCCATGGGGAAGGGCAGGTCCTCTGCGGGGAGATATTTGAAGGAGCAGTGGAGTCTGGGAAGTGGAGGGCAGCCCTGCTGCCAGTGGGGCAGAAGCTGCTTCTCCTGCATTGGGAGAGTCAATGCTCAGTGCACTGGAACTTGTGATCCTCGGACCCAGGCTGGAGCAGATCTGTGCAAAGTTGCAGATTGCATTGCTAATCGTCTTAAGGCTGCAAAATAGCTTAACTGTCTTTAAAAATGAAAATGAGGGGATCCCTGGGTGCCTCAGGGCGCGATCCTGGAGTCCCGGGATTGAGTCCCGGGATCGAGTCCCACATCGGGCTCCCGGTGCATGGAGCCTGCTTCTCCCTCCTCCTGTGTCTCTGCCTCTTTCTCTCTCTCTGTGTGTCTATCATAAATAAAAATAAATAAATCTTTAAAAAATAAATAAAAAATAAAAATGAAAATGATTTATTTTGTTCATTTATTTTTAAAGGTTTTATTTATTTATTTGAGAGAGAGAGGGAAAGCGTGAGCCCAAGCAGGAGGGGAAGGGCCAGAGGAGAGGGAGAAGCAGGCTCCCTGCAGAGCAGGGATCCCATGACACTGGGGCTCAATCCCTAGGACCCCAAGACCATGACCCGAGCCGAAGGCAGACGCCCAGTCGAATGAGCCACCCGGGCAGCTCCCCAAAATGAAAATATTTCAAAGCAGTCCATCACACTGAAACTAGTACTCCACTATTGCCCCACCCCACTAATCACCAGGGGACCAAGAAAGGGAACTACCTACTAGGCATGAGCCTGGTATGTGCTAGACAGTGCTTTGGGCGCTTTCTCTGACACAGCCTCACTTAAACCACACAACTCCCCTGTGAGGTGGGCGGTTATCCCCATGGTTAGTCCAGAATGGGGAGAGACCCTTCAGCAGACCCAACAATTAAGCCTGGGTGGTGGGAATGAAACCACGGCTTCCTCTCTCTTTACCACTCATCCCACTGCCTTTGGTGTTTTTCAGTGGGTAAACTGAGATATAGTCATGCAGTTAAAAACAAATGACCCAAAGCTATATATTTTGACATGGCCACAGCTGGAAAAATCCAATGACAACATGGTGGAAAAGGCCAGTTGCATAATATCATGTAGAGTTGGATACCACTTACGTAAATTCTAGAAACCACACATACGAAGCAATACCGTGTTGTTTGGGATGCAGCTGTTTGTTCTAGGAGTTTCAAACCAGGGCTGGAGGAGCACCTGGCTGGCTCAGTAGGTGGAACACACAACTCTTGGTCTCGGGGCTGTGAGTTCAAGCCCCCACGTTGGGTGGAGAGGTTACTTCAAAAAATGAGAATCTTCACCAAAAAAAAAATTAAAAAAATAAGACAGGGACTGGAGATCCTAAAAATTCACAAGAGCAGTCGCTTCTGGGGCGAGAGGGAGAAGAATAGGGTTGGGTAAGAGGTTGGGCCCTCCTGATTTCAAGGGAAAGCTGTAAACAGCATCCATGGCAAGAGAGTGAGCCCCTTCCCCACTTTCTGTGGACAGAAGATGTGACTTAATCGTTGCTCTAAAGAGCTTGTCAGCTGCAAGTTCTGGGTCACAGGGAACTGAGGGCCTGACGGATGCCAGGAGAAGCACAAGTGGACAGAACTGGTGAGTCCAGGTACCTCGACACTTAAGATGGGTAGGACTTGGCACCGGACGTCCCGCAGAGTGAGGAGGGAGGCTCGGAACTGGGACCACAGTTTCTGGCTGCTGGCCTGTGAAGAGTTTCCACTCACAGGGTTTTACATGTGAAAGAAGTGAGGATGACAAAAACCTCTGTCTGTTCCACTTAACAGCAGGTCTTGTGTTCTGCGCAGATGTCCTTCATCCCCTTTTGGGTATTAAAGGGATCTTTTCTTATGAAATGGCAAAAGAAATAGCCAATAGACCTGGAGATAACTTGTGTTGGCCCAAGTGGATGACCGCCTGGGGTGGGGTGGCTCTGCGTCGAGGTTGGAAAGTCACTGGTCTGTGTGAAATTTAAAAGTCTAGGGATTCCTGGTCCCTTTCCTATGCCCCAGTCCCCATTGGGCACATGGGGACAATGATCCCCACCTGTGCAAGCTGTGGGACCTTGGACAAGAGACAGAGCTGTTTTGTGCTGGTCCCTCCATCAGGGTGGTTCTAAGATGAACTGAGCTCAATGGAGCTCACTGAGTTTGGAAGTTCCCTTCCAGGGCCCAGCACGTGATAGGAGCCTGGCAGAGAACGCCAAGTTGAGAGGGATGTTGGCCACACACGTAGAGTGACTGGGAGCCTCTCAGGTCAAGGAAGCCCCGGGATAGAGTGTGCTGCCTTGTGGGGCATGCGGTGGTGGTAGGGGGTGTGTGTGCGGTGTGTGTGGGGGAGTAGGGGCAAGGATTTGGCCTCCAGAAAGGCTTCCATGCCATGTAAACTCAGGCAAATCATTTTGCTTCTCTGCCCCAGGTTCCTCATCTGAAAAGTACAGATATACACAGTCCCCAAGTGGGAGGGTTGCTGCGTGGACTGTGAATGGTACATGGAGGTGCGTGGCACCCAGTAGGTGCCTGGTGAGCAGCAGGTCCCTCCTCCTTCTGGTCACTTTCCAAATCAGCCTCTCCAGGGGCCTCAGGATGGCAGGGCCATGGTAGGCTCCTGTTCCATGTCGCCACTCAGATGCCTCAGAAGTGCCTTGGCCATAGTGCCTGGCCAAAGCTTTGCCTGCCCCTCTACCTTGGTCCCCTCCTGCCCCAAGCAGGCCCCCACAGCAGGTCAGAGGCAGGTCCAGCCCTCGGGGGCACCCACCTAGCTGGAGTGGGGCAGGGGCTGATGGGGGGGGAACGCCCACACTCAGAGTTTTGCTAGCTGTGCCCTCCTGCTTCTGCCCTCCTGAGCAGCCAGTGGGGAAGGTTCAGGAGGAAGTTACTCAGAGTGAAGCTGTTCCGGGCCCCACCTGCGGTCAAGGTGTGAAATGTGCACCTGTCTCTTCTCTGCCACCCATCCCCCTGTTTTTTTTCTTTCTTTCACACCTCTGGGCTGTGGTTTGGGGAGATGGGAGGCTCAGAGGTCTGAGCCCTGGGCCCAGGTCCTCACAGGAAGGAAGGCACTCTTTTGGGCCAGCCAGGGAAAGGGGCCGTTTCTTCCTCCCCTTCAGTGTCTGCTGCCTCACAGCCTCCCTCCTACAGCTTCACAATGCCACGCCCCCACACCCTGCCCCTGGTTCCAAAAGCCCTTAGCTGTCAGACAAGTGGGCTCAGTGAGGCCCTGGCTTCTTGTGGGGTTCGATTACGGCCTTGGCTGTGGCAGGGCCTTTCTTAACACATGGGTTAAGAATAACACGTGGTTAAGAAGAGGCCTAACTAGCCCCACGAAGGAGTGTGGGTCTGCCCCTAGATGGGGCTGGGACTTCCACCGGCCCTTCTCTCCAAAGAAGAAGAGTTTAAGTCACAGGGAGGCCCAGGTACTGGGATCCCCCTCTTGGGCCCTCTTCCACAGCTGCCTCCTGCAGCTCTGAAACCTACTGGGAGCTGAGAACATTTTAAGTGCTGGGGCCATGCGCTGGTATGCACTCCACGCCCAAGAGGGTGATTTCCCAAGCTGCAAGGCCCTTGTTCCTTTTGGGACCAGAGCAGGAGGATGTTGCCATCATTTGTCAAGGCAGTTCAGGTGATGGGAACAGCAGGTGCCAAGGCAAGGAAATCAGGACTCAAGTGCAGTGACCTTCGTACCATCCTGTTGCCAGTAGTGCCTGGGAACTGGTGCATG